ATAGATACAAATGAATTAATTGATGAAATTAAAATGTATTTAGATGCATGATATGTTTCATCTTCTGAAAGTATATGGAGAATTTTTCATTTTAAAATGCATGGATGTAATCCAAATGTACAAAGATTAGCAGTTCATCTTCCAAATTACCAAACAGTTATATTTCTGAAGAAGATAATTTGTATGATATAGTTAATAATGAAACTAGATATAAAACTACTTTACCAGCTTGGTTTCAAGAAAATATGAATAATACTGAAGCACAAAATTATAAATATATTGACTTTCCAGTATATTATACTTGGAATGCAAAACTTCACAAGTGGAATCGTAGAAAAAATGCAACAGAAGCAATAGGAAGGCTATATATGGTTATATGGTTCAACCTATAGAAGGTGAATGATATTACTTACGAATATTAATTACACACGTAAATGGTGCTACTTCATTTGATAATTTAAAAACTGTTAATAAACAGATATGCAGAACCTTTAAAGAAGCTTACACTTGCCTTGGACTTCTTCAAAATGATAATGAATGGAATATATGTCTATATAAAGCAAGTAATATGCAAACAGAAAAGCAATTACGTCACCTTTTTGTTATGATTCTTCTTATGTACCAACCTTTAACACCAGAAAATTTATGGAATACTCATAAATTAGCATTATGTGAAGATATTTTATATAATGCATAGCAACTTACTCCTTCACAAACTTTTATATTAAATGATACAATAGAAAATGAAGCATTAAACCAAATAAAACATTATCTTCAATCAAATGGAATGTCGCTAAATAATTTTCCTCATATGACCCCATATGCCAATTTCTTCAATACAAAATAAAATATTCATTTAAAAAAAAGATAAAGTAGTTATTATTTGTATAGAAATTTTTATCTTTATTAATTTGTTAAATAGTAAATAGTACATTTTTTCACTTATGTATATACCGTTGTATATTTATTTTTATCTTCATAATTTGTTAAATAGAGTTTATTCATTATTGTATATTTGTTAATTAAAAATTATCGATTATCGGTGTTATAGTATTTCTAACTTCACTTATTGCATAGCATTTATTTTTATCATTTTAAGCATCTTATTTTCATAATTTGTGTATTTATTTATAATTATTAATAAATAAAAAACTGATTTTTAGATTTTTTCTTGGAGTTCTCTGCCTGAACCTTTAAAACCAATACTTTCTCAACACCATACATATATAATCGAAAAATTTAATGAATTACCATCTTATCAAACTTTTCAATAGTACAATTTGAGCTAGACGCATTTGTAGATGTTAATGACAAAGAGAAAGCATCTGAATGGATTGTTGCATTTGATTCTCATACAAAAATAACAATGCCGCAGACCAAAGGTTATGGGGTAAAGGGGATATATGTGCTTTTTCGGGAGAAACGCCATTGCATTCATAGCAATGAAATAAAAAAAAGCAAGTTGGTTATGAGACAAAGCATCTACATTCATCTTGTGCTCGAAATACAAATTGTACTGCATCCATTCACCTTCGGCTAGAGAATTGGCGAATAGAATCATTGAGTCATCCATTTGAAATAAACATAAAATTTACCCACAATTACATAATTAATTCTGCAGAAGCTCTTAGTTTTCAGCATATTAAGAAAGAGGTCTGTGAAAAATACTTGGAATTGTTTAAAGTTGGGCATTCCCTGCATCGGCATTATTTACTTATGAGGACAAACTTCATCTTAGTGTAGATACGCAGGAATTCGTGAAGCTACTCGCAGAAAGATCAAGCAATCCAGATTATGATTGTCTTGAAACTCTTTCAACAAAATCGTGAAACTGTACTTGGTGCTCGTAATGGAAAATTAATGTTTGAACGGTTGGCTGAAGTTATCAATGAATATAATGCTTTAGGACAGGGAAAGGCAGCTATACAGGAATATTATTCAAGTATTGGGAAGTCGTACATACTTTGCATTATAGCCAGTTTAATGAAAATATTTTTCTTAATATTTTTATAGGTGAAATATGTTATATAGACGCATCAGCTTCCTTTGAGCCCCTAAACACAGTGATGGGTTTTGGATATGTTTTTTAGTTTTGGACAAGATTTTGGACATAAAATTGTGTCCAAAACCTGTCCAAAATTACCTAAAATTGTCCAATTTCCCAACATTGCCTTAACACATCAATTACATTGTTCTATACCAGATGCACGGTAATAGCTCTTCTAATTGCACTATTCGTTACTTCGGATGAACTCGAAGAAAAAGCCATCAATTTATTAAAAACTATTCTTCCGTTGCATGCATTTTTTGGACGTGATCCACAAGTTGGACTGATGGTTTTATGACTGATGATTCTAGCATGATACGCAATGCACTGGAGCTGTGTTAGCCACAGGGGATTCGACTCCTATATACATTCCATATTTTGCAAGCGTTTTGGCGTTGGCTTTATGATTCGAAGCACCACATTAATTAGGAGGATCGGACAACAATTATGGAAAAAATGAAACAAATTCTCTATGCGTCATCAATTTCAGCAATGGAAATACATTATAATGAGTTTAAACAAGGCTTTTATTGTTCTTACCTCTGTTAAAAAAGCATTTTGAGCTTTTGTGGGGGTGCTGTCATTTTTGGACGCATTATTTCTGTTCAGGGTTACTCATTCATGGTAACAATACAAATAATTACGTTGAATGAAGCTTTGTACATTGAAAGATATTATTTTTTCGAGGTATTTATTTAGAATTAGCATTATTTATTTATTATTACAGCTAATTTCATAATTCGTGGACCACTAATAAATTGCGACTGAATGTGACTGAAAATATTTTATAATAAAATTACTAGAAAATATTGCGACTGAATGCGACTGAAAAATTATTAATGGTCCATAAATTATGAAATTAGCTGTAAATTATTGAAATCTTTATCAAATTTATAGGATGCAGGCATATAACTCAGTTCAAGTTTTCCAATTTGTAACAGCAAACATGAAAAGGTTTTATGAATGGCGTTTACTTGGCTTTTCACATAGACATTCCAGTCATTTACAAATTGGGAAACGATTCTTTTGTCCTAGATGGGAAACCGTAGGTGCAAATTCTATTCAACGAATAAGTTTGGAGAATGAGTATTTGGTACCAAGCACTAGACAGGACACTTTCCTTGTTTACACAGTGAATAGTGACTTAGGAGTTTGTACCTGTCCTGTTGGAATATCAGGTGCTCTTTGTAAGCACCAAAGGGCTGTTGCAATTAAGTTCTGTATTGTAAATTTTAACTTTTTGCCATCTTCAACACACTTGGTAAGATAGCATTTATGACATATTTTTAATCAATATACAAAAATTAACTTTATTTTTATTTCTTTAGGATATGTCGATCTTTTTATGCATTGTTACATTCAGAACCTGCTTCACAGGATCAAGATGTATCGGAATGTACAGAACTTTCTTTACAGGATTGGAGAAGTTTACAAACAGAACAAACAAAAGGAGTAGTAAATAGCGAGTATAGGTTTATTAATTTAATAATATTACTAATTACATTTTATTATCGATTTTTCTTAAATTATATCTTATAGAGAACCGAATAACAAGGTTGAAGAAATCGATAACTCCAAATTTATGTTCTTCTTAGAAGAGATCAAGGAAGATTACCTAAACTCCAATTTGCAATTGCGTACTGCATTAGATAAATTCATAAACTGATACTAAATAGCAAAATCAGTGTCTATCCCTCGCCTGACAGCCTTACTTTATGATATTTCTAGTCACGTAGATTCGACTGTTCGTATTAGAAGTGGATCTATGATTCCAGTTCAAGTCGAATCTGTTAAATGACGTAAAACGGAAGGGTCCAGTCATAAAAGAAAACTACCTACTATCAAAAATAAGGAAAATTGGGATCCTCAGACTATCCCTAATTGAAAAGAAAAAATGGGCAAAAAAGCACAGTCTAAGCAAAAATATAGGAAAAAATCAACCGAATTGAGGTAAGATATTTGATAATATTTTTGTGTATATAAATCTTTTTTAACATTTTTCAATAAAAATTTATTTGTTACATTTTACAATTAGCTTATATCAAATGCGTCTTTTTTTTAATTTTTTAAGGTCACAAATGAACGAAATGAAGAGAACATATTATTTCATACAAGATTTCGAGTACGATTAATATTTTAAATTTTAAAATAATTTGATAATATGGTATAAAGAACATTTATACATATAGTTTTTAATTAAAAAAAAGACATGAAGAATGTTTATTCAAAATATTTTTATAATTTTTCTTTTATTTTACAAAATTTTTCTATGAAAATAAAACAAATTAATGCGATATACTGTTTGCTACGGTACAGTTAAGTACAATGACGTCAGCCGCTTAATTTTGGGCTGGCACTACGGCCAGCATTATAGTCACGTGACAATGTATGGTTGAGGCGCAGTTGTTACGTCACTGACTTGGCACACATTTCTGACATGTGTTTTAAATAAAAAATTACATTATTTTTGAAATAAAAACACACTTAAAGTACATATATAAAATTTTTTAAAATATTACAAACAAATAAATTTGCAATTATTCAACTAATTATTTAATCCATTTAAAAATATGATTAGAAATATTATTTGATTATTTCTTACAATAAATATATAAATTTTATTATTCTTTATATTAAAAATTAGAGAAATTTTAACATAATTCTAAAATTTACTTGAATATTTACCTTTTCCACCTTAATAAAACTTGTTTCTTTTGCTAAATGATAACATATATTATTAGTTAAATGTTATCTTATCCAATAAATATTTTTAAATTAAAAAATCAATTTTTTGCATTTTATACAAAAACTATTTGAATAATTACCTTTACAACCTAAGAAATTATTTTCCTCATGTAAAGTTATATTTATTTTAACTGTCAAAATCATACTTTCTTTTCAACTTTTAAAAAGATCTTAAAAAAAGTAGCTTTTTAGGACGAAGCTTCTTGTAATTGCAAAAAAAAAAAAATTTTAGAAGTGGTGAATTATTAAAATAAATGAATTGATCTTATGACATTCTATCAATTACCTAATTTGTATAAGCAGTATGTTAAAAGTTTAACGGTTAACTATGAGGCAAATTTTTCAATTACTGTTACACAAACAAATTAAATTATAAAATTGATCTGCATGCGACATGTCTGGCTACTGATAATTCTGGAATTGAAAAAGATACGGTAATATAAAAATAAGGCAGACAATGTTGAGGAAGTTATTGATGAGATAGAACGTAGTCCGATATTAAAGAAAGTGAATAATATAACATTAATTATTTTACTGCGATATTTTCAAGAAAGGAATTAAAAACCTGAAAAGTAGATAATAAAGTTCCCTTAGAAGTATCGATCAAGAACCGTAAATTATTTGTCATACATTTTTTTTTAAAAAAACAGGTTAGAATCAATTATATAATTATTATTTTTCAATCAAATTTATTTTGATTGATAAATTGTATAATTTATTTCAATTAATTTATTCTTTCGATAAAGTTGGTTCTTTTAACATTCTTGAAAAGAAAGGTTATCATTATACACTTTTTTAAAAAATACATAATAAATCAAGTTATACTAGAATTTTAGGTCGCAATTTGTATATAAGAAATAATCTTATTATTCGAAGATTATTAATTCGAACTATCAGCAATATAT